TAAGTTAGACTGTAATAACGAGTCATTTCTTTGCAGAAGATGCTCAACATGCATCAAAACAACAGGATCCCGAACATTTCTGGTCATATGAGGCGAGTCTTCTTATGGCTTATAATCCATTCCAAGAGTGCATGGGTTTCACCAAATCTTACTATATATCTGCTATTTGAAGCACTTCAGATCCTTGTTCTGCCCCATGGTGGGTGTCAAGGGGAGGCTATGTGGGGAGTTCCGAGAATGCGAAATAGAAAAAAAAAAAGCAAGTTAAGGAAGAAAGGTCTTACTTCTCAGGGCCAATAAAATGATGACATACTCTGCACTTTTTTCCCCCAGTTGTGATTCTTGCGATGCTAAAGGACGTCACAGGGCCCAATCTTAATAAGGTTTCCAATCAGCCCCACCCGCCCTGGCCCCACCCCCCACCCTCCAACAAAGATTTATCAAATGTGGGATTTTCCCATGAGTCTCAATATTAGAGTCCCCCATAAATATGGGACTGGAGATGTCTGAGGTTCACTCTGCCCTCGAGCCCACCAGGAACGAAAGAGCAGCTCCCTCTGCCCTCCAGGAACCCAGCCATGAACTCCCTCTCCACAAGTAAGTGAAGGAAATCCCTGGCCCCGGGACGCCGGCGGCCGCCAGAGCGCCTGTGCAGGGAGGCGCAGCGCGGCCGGGAGGGCTGGCGGGCGGCCAGCGGCAGAGGCAGCTCCCAGCTGCACCCGCTCACGCCTGCCCTCCCTTCCCTCCGGCTCAGGCACCCTCGGCCCAGTTGCCTTCTCCCTGGGGCTGTTCCTGGTGATGGCCGCAGCCTTCCCCACCACCCCAAGACCCCTGGGAGAAGATTCCACAGATGCTGCCCCCTCAAACAGACCATCCTACACCACTCCAGAACACATCGAAGAGCTCATTAAGAGAATCTTGGGCCTGGCAAAGGAGGTGGGTAGGCTGGGCTGGGCTTGGTGATGGGGCTGAAGGGCCCGTCTGGGCATGCTTTCTCCTGGCCCCGGCCTGTGCCGGCCTGGGCCTGGGAGCCCGGGCATTGCTGGGTTCTGGGGCGCTTTAGATTGGAGGCTGACAGGGCAGACTAGACTGAATTCTCTGTTTCTCCTCCTCTGGTGGCCTCAAGAGGTTCCTTTCTTTTCTGGAAAATACAGAATGGGGCTGGGATCCATGCCCCCAGGCCTGTCCTCAGCCACACACTTGACATGAGTTGAGGGTCATTGCTTCTCAGGGCTTCCCTTTCCCTCACAGCAAAAAAATAAGGTCTCTGAACGTTCTTCCCGTCCCTTGGTCTTTGGAAGGACTAGAAAAGCGCCACTTGAAATGAATTTTCAGTTTCTCAGGAAGTAGCAGTACTTTTTGGCTATATGAGCTCAGTGGTTAGAACTCCCCCAAGTCCTACCAGCTAAGGTGCATACTTTAGAGCCACCAAAATGGCAAATCATGAGTAGGTTAAAGCATCTCCCAACTTTAAGTGCAAGGTATTCAGGCTGTGTTTGTTTGATAGAAAGAAAGGAATGCAGAAATCGAGACTGGATGCCTGCACTGTAATTCTGATTCTGCCAAACCAATTTTATGATCTTGGGCAAATTCCCTACCACCTCTGAAGTCCATCTGTAATACTGTGGATTTGTGCTGATGATCTCACAGGTCCTTCCAGCTGGAATATTCTTGACTTAAATTATACTCACTCAATTATCATCAAAATTGCTGTCTAAGTATTAAGTACTTAAGTATTATGGGCCTACGGTGTGCCAGGTATCTAAGTATTGTGTATTGAGTACCTAAGGTGGGCCAGGCACTTTATATAAATATTATGTCTACTCCTCACAGCAAACTTGCAAGAGAGGTGTCTAATGGTCTACAACTTGGAAATAAGGAAACTGAGACTCAGGGTAATAACACACCTGAAGCCATAGGTGAGCCTGGCATTGAACCTAAGTGTGCCCCTCTCTCTTATACTTGCTTGCCAGGATGCCAGTGGTTTTTGTGGCTTCATTTTTCTTAGACACTTTCCTCACTGTGGCAGAACGTGAACTGGCCCTCTAGTGGTGTTTGTTTTAGGGGCAGATATGTAATAACAGTTCTGGTGGGTTTTTTTCCCAGATGTGTCAAAAGAGTTTTGGGTGTGACAACAGCAGGGAGGTACTGGCAGGAAACAACCTGAACCTTCCAAAGATGGAAAAAGAAGATGGATGCTTCGAATCTGGATTCAATAAGGTATGAACTTGCATTCACTTTTAGCTAACCCCCTGGCAAACATTCTCCTTCTCTCTTGTGGTGCCTGTATATGAGGGGGGAACCCCAAAATACCCAAAATTATTTTATGGAGGGTGGGCCCCTGTACTGAGGCTTTCCTCAGTAGGTGAGTGTTCCAGGAACCCATCAGCATCAGTGTACCAGCTAGCGTTGTGAGAGGCTTCAGTGAATTTTTTTTTGGAGATTCTTTCAACTCATTTGCCCACTTCATGACGCCCATTTTATGAGCGCACCTGCCCACACCACACTGAGTGTTCAGCAGTTTTTGACCCAAAATTGGCATGACCCCCGTGCTATTCACCTGATCTCATCCCAAGCCACTTTTTTTGTTGTTTCTCTGGATGAAAAAAGTCCTCGAAGGGAAGTGTTTTGCCAATATGGAAAAGGTGAAACAAAAAATGGCAGAAGCATAAAAAGCATCCAAATTGATGAGTTCAAAAACGGGGTCTCGATAGGTGTATTGCATCGAACGGAGAGTACTTTGAGGGTGACTGATGTTTAAACATGTAAGACTACATACACAGTTTTTTATAAACAAATTCTGGGGGTTTTTTTTGGTCCGTCCCCCCCGCTTCATATATGTGAATCCAGACAGGCAACACAAGGGGAAGGATGTAAAGAACATCATGTCCATTCCATGGCGAGGCCAACTTCAAGCTTTTTTAAAGGCAGTTTGTCTTTGAACAGGCCTACGCACGTATGGCCCCTCCATGTTGGGATTTTAGCAACTGTCAAGGGTCAGAAACCCTAGCAGGTCTAGTTAGCTGACCCTGGGGAAGGAGGGCCTTTTTCCACTCTGGCTGCCCCGGCAGGAACCAGGCCCGTCCTCTCTGCTGAGGTCATTCCCACACCCTTCTCCTTCGAGACAGTGAGATAACCTGCATCAACTTCCCATTATTTCATAAAAGGAAATTTCAACCCAACATTGATGAGGGCAGGAGTGCAGAAAGAACATCAAGGGAGAATCAGAGAAGCCACATTCTGGCATCTGTGGGACTTTGGGTAAAATTAATTAAGGGGTGCCTCTGACTGGCCAGATATTTAAAGTCATACTGTCTAATGTCCCCAAACATGATGCCTAAGAAGTTCCCTTAGACTTGCTTGCCAGAGTGCCAGTGGGTTGTGGCTTCATTTTTCTTAGAGATTTTCCTGGCTGTGGCAGAACATGAACCGGCCCTCTAGTGGTGTTTGTTTTAGGGGCGGATATGTAATAACAATTCTGGTGGGGTTTTTTCCCCCCAGATTGTCACAAGAGCATTAGATGGTTCAGGTTGTTTTCAGAGGGAAAGGATGCTGAATTATAGCCAGGTGATCAATTAAAGTGGCTCCTTTCTCCTGGTGATAACCAACTTTCCCGCCCTCTTTCCTCCTAGGAGACTTGTCTGAAGAAGATCACTACGGGTCTTTTGGAGTTTCAGGTATACCTGGAATACCTCCAGAACAAGTTTGAGGGTAATAAGGAACACGCTGAAACCGTGCTGATAGGTACCAAAGCCATGATCCAGTACCTGAAGACCAAGGTGAGCCTTCATTTCCCCATCCTCTCACCTGGTGTGGGGGAGAGAGGCTCAAAGGCAGTAGCTGGGAGGGCTCCGGGATGCAATGCTACTTTAGAAAAAACAAGACTACGTGCTAACGGTAGGGTCTGAGCAATGGTTCCTCACAGCTAGAGTTACACTCTTTTGGGGGAAGGCTCTCTACTGCAAAGAGCATCAATAACTGTATTTAAAATTATATTAAATGAGGTGGGTTTTAACATCAGTTTTTTGTTTTTGTTTTTGTTCTTGAGTCAGAGTCTCACTCTGTTGTCCAGGCTGGAGTGCGGTGGCACGATCATGGCTCACCACAACCTTGACCTTCTGGCTCAGGCAATCCTTCCACCTCAACCCCCACAGTAGCTGGGGCTACAGGCACACATCACCACGCCCAGCTAATTTTTTTTAAATTTTTTGTAGAGACAGGTCTTGCTATGTTGTCCAGTCGGGTCTCAATTTCCTGGCCTCAAACAATCCTCCCTCCTACGCCTCCCAAAATGCTAGGATTACAGATGTGAGCCACCTGTGGCAGCAGAAAGAAGCATGGCCGACCCTGCCCAGTGATCCATAATAACAAAGAACAGGAGCCTAGATATGGTTTTAATACTTTAATGAATGCCAAGTGACATTCTTCTCATGATGGTTGTTTCAAGTCTATTTCTCTACTTTTTACCAGAGAGTTAGCTCAGAGAAATGGCCAAAGCCTAAAGGCCTACAAAGGAGACAGCAGGGCTTTGACCACCAGCAGCTGGCAGCCCTCGGTGCTAATCCTGCTTCTGTCATTTCTACTTGTTTGCCTTAAGTCAGTGTTTCCCCTACGTTCTCCTAACTGCACAGCAGTTCCCAGGGCATATATCTTGCTGCCATGCAGAGTCTGATCTGGCAGGTCTGGGACGAGGTCTGAGATTCACATTTCTGACAGGCTTATATCCCTAGCAATGCTGCCGTACTCCAGGACCACATTTGAAGGTGCAAGGCCAACTGCAAGTCACTCACCCCATGGGGGTGGGTCTGGGGAAAGGTGTTTCCTAGTCCTCTTTGCTGCACCAGATCAGTGGACTGTCAACAGCTGCTAGATGAATGGTGCGAGGGAAACTGGAGAAACGTGTTAGGTTTAGAAGCTGCTAAAGAACCCCCCGAAATGCCTTTTCATTAACTAGATGAATTCCAAGTATGGGCCAGTTCTGTTTCAGATACAATAGAAGACAAGTAAGCTAGATGTGGTGGCTTACACCTGTAATCTCAGCACTTTGGGAGGCCAAGGCAGGAGGATTGCTTGAGCCCAGGAGTTCAAGACCAGCCTGGGCAACATAGCAAGACCTCATTTCTACAAAAAAAAAAAAAATTAACCTGGCGGTGGTGGCGGCATGTGCCTGTAGTCCCAGCTACTCAGAAGGCTGAGGTAGAAGAATTGATTCCAGGAGGTAGAGGCTGCAGTGAGCCGTGATTGTGCCGCTGCACTCCAGCCTGGTGACAGAATGAGACGCTGACTCAAAAATAATGATAATATAATAAAATAAAAAATAGAAGACAAATAAGATAGTGGTACTGCCCTCAAGATTTTTATGGTCTCATGGGAGACAGAGCTGCAAAGGAATGATTTGAATTTAATTGAGAGGCGGAGGTGAGAGGACTGCCTGAGCCCACGGGTTCAAGACCAGCCTGGGCAACATGCCTAGACCTCGTTTCTACAGTAAATTAAAAAATTAGCAAAGCATGGTGGCACGTGCCTGTGGTTCCAGCTATTTGGAAGGTTGAGGTAGAAGGATCACCTGAACCCAGAAGGTCGAGGCTGCAGTGGCCATGAGCGTGTCTCTGCACTCCAGCCTGGGCAACAGAGTGAGACTCAAAAAAAAAAGAATTTAGTTGCTACAAAAGGGTCTTCCTCAAGGCAGGCAGCCGCAATTCATCCCATTCACCCCACATTTGGACATCTTCCCACAGCCCAGAGCACTCCTCCATGGCAAAGGATTTGTTCAGTCGGAAGCAACCCTTTTTGTCTTCTCTTCCCTTCAGGTAAAGAACCCAGACGCAGTAGCCACCCCTGACCCAACTGCCAATGCCATCCTGCTGGTGAAGCTGAAGTCGCAAGGCCAGTGGCTGCAGAATACAACCATCCATCTCATCCTTCGCAGCCTGATTCACTTCCTGCACTCCAGCGCAAGGGCCATTCGGGTCAAGTAGCACGGGCATCTGAGCTTGTGGTGGTTCATGGGCATTCCTTTCTCTGGTGAGAAACCCGTCCCCTGGGCACAAAACTTATGTTGTTCTCTATGGAGAACTAAAAGTATGAGCGTTAGGACACTATTTTAATTATTTTTAATTTATTGATATTTAAGTATGTGATGCCGAGTTAATTTATAGAAGTGATATTTATATTTTTATGAAATGCCACTTGAAATATTTTATGGATTTGTTTTGAGACAATAATGTAAAGTGGCTATGCAGTTTGAAAATCCTCTGTTTCAGAGCCAGATCATTCCTTGGAAGATGTAGGCTTACCTCAAATAAATTGCTAACTTATACATATTTTTAAAGAAATATTTATATTGTATTTATGTAATGTTTACATTGTTTTTATACCAATAAATCACAATTTTTTAAAAGTCAGCAAGTAAACCTGTGTGTGTCTTGTGAAACTTAGTATAAACAAGTTTCTTGTCAACACCACCACCACCAAAAAAAAACTATAATCCATCACCAGGTTGATATAATTGAGCACCCACTACATGGAAGGCCACATGCTAAATGTGTCATATCCATCACCTCATTGAATCCCAGCACCTTCCTTTCCAGATGTGGAAATAGAAGCGATTTACCCTCATAATCCCACGGGAAGGCAAGGCAGGGCCCAGATTTGAAAAAGTCTACCTGCCTCCAGTTCCCATACTCCTAACCTTTAGGTCCCATTGTCACTCAGGGAACTGAGAGATAATGTTGCAAATCCCAAAACAAGAACAGATGCGGTGGTTCAGGTCTGTAATCCCAGCACCTTGGAAGGCTTAGGCAGGAGGTTTGCTTGAGACCAACCTAGACAATATAGAAAGGCCTTGTCTCTATAAAATACCAAAAAAAATTAGCCAGGTGTGGTGGCACGCACCTGTGGATCCAGCTACTTGGGAAGCTGAGGCAGAAGGATTGCCTGAGCCCAGCAGGTCGAGGCTGCAGTGAGCCTAGAGCGTGCCACTGCACTCCAGCCTAGGCAACAGAGTAACACCTTGACATAAAAAAAAAAGAAAAGAAAAAGAAAATCCATAGGGCCAGGCGCGGTGGCTCATGCCTATAATCCCAGCACTTTGAGAGGCTGAGGTGAGAGGACTGCCTGAGCCCACAGGTTCAAGACCAGCCTGGGCAACTTGGCAAGACCTCATCTCTACAATAAATCAAAAAATTAACCAGTGTGGTGGCACATGCCTGTAGTCCCAGCCACTTGGAAGGCGGAGGCAGAAGGATGGCCTGACCCCAGCAGATCAAGGCTATGGTGCCCGTGAGGGTGCCACTGCACTCTAGCCTGAGCAACAGAGTGAGACTCCAACTCAAAAAAAAAAAAAAGAAAGAAAGAAAAGAAAATCTCAAAACATGTCAAGATAGGGAATATGTATAAGGATACGATCAAAGCCCTTGGGGTCACACAACCACTGTGTAAGACACGGACAGCAATGTGCAAGCTTCCAAATACCTAAAATTTCTGGCTGTCTCCTCTGGGTTCCACAAACACTGCACATATCCGTCACAGCACCCGCTACAATGTCTCACACCTTAAAATCAATAGGTTTTTCTTTCCAACCAGCATGTGGGTTGCTCAAGAAAGCAGACTCTCTCTTGTATTCTTCTTTGCATCCTGGGCCCATGGCCCAGTACCTGATGGACGGAGGCCCGAATGAACATTTGTGGAGTGAAGAAAGCACACAAAGAGGATCAAATAGAAGACACCTCAATTCTTGGGGCTTACAGTATTAAGGGAAACTGCTAATCCTGTGCGCTTATACATCTTCACATTAAGGGAAGGTGGCAAGAATCAGAAAGCAACATTGCGAGGATTTGTAGAGAAGGCGATAAACTGTTGGTGTGTGTATAGCCACCTCCATGGTTCCTGCTCGCTCCATCCAACCTCTCCCCTCCCCCATGGAAGGCAGTGGTGAGAGAGGCAATCTAGACAATGGAACATGGCCCCTCCAGCCCATCTCAGCACCATACTGGGAATTTGGTTCAGATTTCCCCTTTCTGACCCCAGCAATATAAAAGTTCTGTCTTCTAACAAAGCGTTTCCCCACCCTAACCACCACAGACTTCTTCCTCCAGGAGAGGAGTCCTGCTGGGCAAGGGAAAGTCCACAGAGACCAAGAACTGAGAGGAGCTAAGAAAGAAGAGAGTCACATACTCTAATTTCTAGAAACCACACATCACAAGTGGGCTTCCCAAAATTAGGGTTGAATCAAAGAACAAAGAGAAGTAGCAGTCAACGGATACATCCATTCTTTTTTTTTTTTGAGTTGGAGTCTCACTCTGTCGCCCAGACTAGAGTGCAGTGGCCGCTCCTGGCCACCGCAGCCTCG